TGTCTCTTCCGTCCTGTGCCCCTGCCTGACCTCCCTAGAAAGTCCACCCAAAGGAATGATGCCTCTCCCTCGCTGCTAAGCTGTCAGGGCGGGGACGCAGTTGACTCCTGTTTGGGTTTAGCCACAGCAGTTTCCAGATTGTCACGAAAACACACAGATGCTGGTAATTTTCAAGCGAATCGCAAAACAGCTACAGAAACCAAACTGTGTGCCAGCATGGGGGACCAAACAGATTCGCAGGAGGTGCGCTGACTAGCAGCTTTCTCAAAAAGCATAAATAGAGCGGAACAGCCAATTTTATAATTAACTGGGAATCGGTCTCCAGTTAAGCTGCTGCTCAGTGAAGATGGCCAAGCCGTTCCCCGGGGAGAGCTGGTGCCGTGCCTCTTCCTTTGGGCCCTGGCGGACTTGAGCTGCCTCTGCTTTAGCACCTTTGAATATATTTTGGGATGCCAAGGTGTATCGCTTGGAGTCGCGCTCAGTGTGGGGGCAGGACACTTGGGAGAAAGGCACAAGCCAGGGCCTGTGGGTTAGGACGGGCCATGGGCCAAACGAACACAGAGGCCCTTGTTCAAACGTTATTAAGAATTTCAGGATGATGATTAAACCAAGCAGGAGGCCCTTCTAAGCATCGGTGACGCTAAGTTGGGGGGACGTTGATGGGTGGGATCTCAAGTTGTGGGTGAGGCACCGCCTCAGGGGCTCCAGGGCAGCGGACCCCACAAGAGGGAGGCCAGGGAGGCAGAAGGAACAAAATCAGCACCCTATTCTGGGCTGTAGTAACAACAAACAAATCCAGTAGAACGATCCCTTTCGGAAGGCAATTTGGCAAGAAGTGTCACAATTTCGCAAACCTTTTGATTCGGCAAACCCACTTCTAGCACTCTGTTTTGTTGTTTCCTCCGCTCAAGGGGACACGATAATAAATATGATGCTTTCGTCGTGTTACTTGTGATACTGACAGGTGGAAAGAACCCAAGCCTCTGTCAAAGGGGACGGATTAAAAACCATGCTACCTCCCCAGTGAGGATCTTTCAAGTGAAATGTGCTGTGTAAGTGACCCTCTTGTGACTCAAGCTGCTCTGTGACAACACCTAGGGCCCAGTTTTAAAATTTTCTATTTATTGGGGCGCCTGGGTGGCTCAGTCGGTTGAGCGTCCGGCTTCGGCTCAGGTCACAATCTCACGGTTTGTGAGTTCGAGCCCCACGTCGGGCTCTGTGCTGACAGCTCAGAGCCTGGAACCTGTTTCAGATTCTGTGCCTCCCTCTCTCTCTGCTCCTCCCCTGCTCATGTTCTGTCTCTCTCTCTCTCAAAAATAAATAAACATTAAAATTTTTTTTAAATTTTCTATTTATTGCTGAGTGTGGGATCCCCTTTGTTCTAAGCCTGGATCCCCACTGTGTGCCCGCCAGTTCCTTGAGGCCACTCGCTTTGCCTCCATGTTAAGAGCGGGTGCTCCTATCCCAGAACTCCCAGCAAGAGTCCTGCGTGTTACCTTCCTTGAATCAATTTCTGTGGCTGGATGAATGCACACCATCTTCTTTTCTTTTCTGGTTGGTTGGTTGTTTGTTTTCGGGAGAGCTTGTCCATGGATGGCTTTTGGATGCAGGTAGAGTGGATCCAACAGAAGGTTGGGCTGCAGGAAGAGGATGGCAGCGGGGGCATAGACCTGCTCCCACAGGGTGAGGAGCCTGCTGGCTGCCAGGGGGGCCCTCCGACAAGGGGAGATGTGGCAGGGGCCAGTCAGGAACCGGAAAAGGAAGGGGCCCTCCCTCACATCTGGACTGGTGCAGTATCTTCTTCACCGATTTCCCTGCCCCACCCTTGATCCCAGCTGTCCTGTCTCCATCTCTTCCACCCAATAGTCAAAATGGTCTTTTTATAATGTAAATTAGATTATGCCCTCCTTAGATTAAGTCAGTTAGCAAATATTGATGAGTGCCTATTACATGCCAGGTACTGTTTTAGGCACTGGCGATACAACAGTGAACACAAAGGGAAGTCTGTCCCCTGGTGGAGCTAACATTCGAATGCAATTCTAAGTACTCTGCTCAAAATTTGGATGTCTCCCCATCTCTCTCAGAGTGACAGACAACCACGGGGCCCTGTTATCTCTTACTACATAAGCACCCCAAATTTAGCAGTGTAGAGCAGCAGTCACTGTCATGATGGTGATGATGCTAATGAT